CATATTTTGTTAACCCTAAAATTACGCCTGGGAGTCAAAAAGTTAAGTTTGTACAGTAGTTCAGGACGATCAATTGTATTCTCAGCTATTTTTAAAATATATGTGCAATCGGCTATTCGACGATGCATATAAAGAGGAAGAATGTGATGGATTTTGTAAATATGCAGATAATCTTCATTATGATATTGGCGTTTAGTTCGGTACTAAGATAACGAATAAATCTTTTTTGAATGCGTTCTATGCGTGAAGTGTACACCTCGTGTCGTATTGCGTTTTCCAAATCTGAGAGGCGTATTCCAGAATACTCCGAACAAACGTACAATTTTAACTGTCTTTATATCCCGAAACTCACCAGAACGACGCATCACAAACCCCAGTGCACGTGATGCTTTGGTAACTATTTCATCTATGTGCGCATTAAACAAAAGTTTATTATCGAATGTGACATCCAGATCACGCGCTGTGTTTCCACATTCAAGGACCTGGCCGCCGAGCATATAATTAAAGACTAAGGGATTGTTTTTGCGACTGTAGGTTACTATTGAGCATTTGGCAGGATTTAAGTCTAATTTATTCAGTTTGGAGAGCCTCAGCTTCAAACTAGGTTGAAATCCTGGAATATATTTTCATGTTATCGGCAAAACATAGGACACACAACTGACACACAACTTGAAGTCAAATAAAAAATAGTGAAGAGCAACGGTTCTAGCAAAGATCCCTGAGGCACGCCGCTTGATATTTTGGCCCAGCTAGAAATATAATTGCTAACAACGACTGTTTGAGATCTATTGTCAATATAAGAAGCAAACTATCGAAGAAGATTGCCACGAACCCCAAGTTTGTTAATTTTTGAGAGCATTTTGACGTGACCTATGCGATCAAAACATTTGCTGTAATCAGTATAGATCACGTCAACCTGGTCGCCGGCTTCTATTGCTGCTGACATAAAGTCGCTTATCAAGACCAAATTTGATTATTATTATGTTAATATATTATTATGTTTCAAAGTGCCAACCAGCACGTTAAAATTTTTTTATATGGCATTGGTAGACTCCAAACTAAACTATGCCCTTGATAGCTATGGACTTACATTTAAATCATACATTGACAGGCTAGATAACATGCATATTAGGTTTTTAAAACTTTTTGTAAACAAAAAACAAAAGTCAAATGTAATTATGACTACATTAAATTATTCAAGGTTAGTTTACAATATAGATATCTTCTGGCTGTCAATAACCATAGTGCAGAGGTGCGTGACTCTTTGGTGTGTACGGTTAACAACAAGTATAATTACGATGATAGATGACCTCTCAAATTTGTAATCCCAAGAGTCACTAACTACGGAGATAGGACCTTAGAGAAGCGTATTCTATACGTATTAAAATGATTCTTCTTTATTGAAGATCGGCAATCAGTTTTCTATATCTTTCTTTGTCCAGAGCTAACCTGAACAGTTGTTACACGGTCTTGATGCTGGTCTACTCCCTGATGTTACGAAGCAATGACATTTTCCTTCTTCCAACCTTTCGCTTCCCAGCTACTTTGTCCATCATTATAGTGTACAATAGATGACATCTGTCATGTCACAGTCGATAACCCAAACAGGCAACCTTCCGCTGCTTGACAGTGCGTACCAACTCCACCTTTTTCGCCATACGTTTAAGGACTGACGTGACTTTGTCCGTCCAACTGATGTGGAGCATTCTACGATGGCACCACATTTCGAACGCTACAAGTTTCTTGCTGAGGTCTTCTTTTATACCCCGTCACTAAACATTCATTAAACAGCTTATTAGAGGTTATTAGACTTGAAACCAAAAGAATGTACATTAAAAAATGTTGATCTTTCAATAAATCTTTCATTATTTTCAAATTGTTGAATAGTTCGTAATATATATATAATAATACATATAACCCCAGATTGACTGCATTAGTCAGAAGATCATTGGTACCTTAAGATCGTTCTACCAATTCAAACACTTTCTTTCCATCAACAAAACTCCTCTTTGGCTCTGGAACGCTGTACCGCCCCATATTCAAAAGGCGCCGAATAAACTAGCTTTCAAGCAATTAGTCCGCGATTTCATATTGGAATCTATCTCAATCTGCATCCCATTTGTCTGACATTGTTATATATATAAATATGTATATTAAATATATATGTGCATGTATTATATATTATGTATTTATATGTATATAGGTTGCTTATATAAGTATATATTTAGTCATATAATATTATGTGCTATATTTATATTGTGTTTAAACTATAAATCATAATTATTTATAAATTTCTTCCATCGAGTATATTACCAGAAATAGAGACGAAATCTCATTTAATTTATTTGAAAACTAATCTGTCATATCATTACCGTAACAACTGCGCTCCGATTGGCTAGCCCGAGTTCGAAACAATTGACGGGTGTCGTCAACTGTTTCGCTTCAAATCGATCAATTAACTTGAGCTTTGCTATAATGGACGAAAATTGCAAAATTACATATTTAATTGCCGATGAATGATGCCCTTTGTTTTGTAATTAGATGTTCTGCTGTTTTTCCCACACCACCGAATAGAACAGCACGGCATTGTTAGAGATATTATATTAATTACAATAAATACAGAATATTTTTGGAATATACGGAGACGTACTCACAGGTCTGTAGTTGGCCAGTCTATATTTCAGTGCTAACGAGAGTTGATATTTATAAGAGCTGTAACGCTAATGTGTTACCAGGAATATATGGCCCTTATTTCGTCTCTATTTCTGGTTATATACTCGATGATTTCTTCCTATCTGTTTTAATTATATATATTCGGTTGACTGGTAGAGAAAGCTAATGGCATTTTTGTCACTACATCCTTCACCATATTTGTCACGGAACACAGCATTTTTCACTCTGTCACACATCCCGCACACCACATATTCTAAGATAAAAAAAAGAAATTCAGAGTTTTACTTGTTTCCTTTAATGTTATACCGACACCATATGGACCAAAATGTACTTTTACTCGACGGATTTATCTAGATTTATCTTGGAACGCCAGAGTATCTCGGCTTCTAACAGGACTTATTTTCATTACGCTGTTTTAAAATTCTTGAGAAACTTTGAGCTTTGATCTTTGATCAATTTTCAGCTGGTTCAGAACAATTTCTCTTTTCCCACCATCTTGACACCATCATCTTAATTTTTTTACCTTTAGGAACCAATACATATAAAACAGTGTAAATATATTTTTTCATCACATAGTGAACATTAGCTCCATATTTTTTTAAATGAGTGGAATTATGTAGCTCTATGATACATAATTATTATGATGTTTGCAGAGCTATATTTATCAGTCTGTTCTGAACAAACAGCGACGTAATGATGATTTTATCTTAAAACAAATATTAACCTCTCCATCGACACCAGTTTGTGTTTAACAATCAGTATAGCAACATGGTGTACCAGTGGAGAGATAAAGTGGTAATTATCACTGGTGCAGCCACCGGCATTGGGGAGGCCGTCGTTCGGCGTTTAATGGACGAGTCTATCAATGTAAGCCATCTCACTAATGGTTCAAATATATGATTAATATATTCCATATTAGAAATTAAGAGGTGGTCACAATCGTTCCTGAGCCTGTCACAGGCGATCATTTTATCTTCAAGACATCATCCAGGAGCTTCCCACAGCATTCGCAATGTTTATAATGTAATATCTTCGCCATGTGTGGTTATCTATTCATTTTCATTCTCTGTGACAGGCTTTTACAGTTTGCAGTAGTGTTTGGGCTACTTCGCCGCTCTCAAACAGTGGTATCTGGATGTGTGATCTTGTCCTCTACGCAAGAGGTCTTGGATTCGAGGACCTAGGTATAGGTCCTAGTTTTTTAATTAAAATGGATTACATACCGTTATACCTATACATTTATGTCAGCATTTGCTTTATTTGAGATAGTATTTGTAAGTATCTTTTTCACCAATATCTAATAGTTCTCCAAATTAAAATTTTTTTCCTAAAATCTCCTCAAGTGACTTCTGATCATTCTTTCCCTGGACTCTTCAGATATCTTACTACCAGGGAAACCACAGGCTACTTTAAGCGACTTAAAAAAAAAAAGAGGTTATACTTTCGGTTTTATATATGTTTTCCGATGTCTCCGTCGATTGTGAACCGATTTTGAAAATTCTTCTTCGTGTGAAAGGGTGCACTCTCGTGGTGGTTCCATTATTACCAAGTCAGAATCTGATGAGGGGATGCCATGGGAATGGAGAAAACCCCTCAAATTTTAGAGGCAAGTCAGTGTACTCACCAATTTCTCCATCAATTGTGGACCGATTTTGGAAATTATTTTTTCTTTGAAAAGTTATACTCTCGACTTGGTCCCTGATCCGAGGATCACCGTTACTATGACTACCCGAAAAAGAGTATAAAATATACAAAGGAGTCCGTAATAGTCCCATTGTCACCAAGAAGTCTCAATCTGCTGCGATCCCCACCTCTAGGAAATCGAAAAAAGTCGATAAGCAAACTGTTGAGGTCGTTTTTTTTCATAATTCACAGCACGTAGCAGTACTCGACGTAGATGAATCCAACGGTAAATCTCTTCAACAAGAGTCAATTACAAAATATGGCGCTAACAAAGTGAAATTTTACAAATGCGATGTCATCAATGATGACCAGCTGTTTAGTGTTTTCAACTCCGTGAAGATCGAACAAGGTGCTATTGATGTCGTGATCAATAATGCTGGGATCATGAATGATAGTTGGGAAACTTACAAGAAAGAGATTGCAATTAATGTCGTAAGTAAATATGGAGGGGCGCAGCTTGCGTGAACAAGTGTGTAATTTCAATAGTTAATCTTAGTAATAAAAACAAACGAATAATGTTCACCAATCATTAGCCGCATATTCAGGGGGCCTTTTTTTTTATGTGGGAGTCCCGGCGCCCTGAAAAGGGCGCTGCTCCTGGGTCTAGCATGGACCCAGGGGTGTACCCATTAAACCCCATCGGTTTGCCTCTCGCCGGGTTTGTGCCGGCGCCGTGGGATCATCTCTATTTCACCACGACGCCGCCCGGGGCCGGCCGCCCCGGCCACTATGCCGGGGCTCCCGCGCCTATGGAGGAGAGGATCGGTATATTCAGGGGGCCTACCACAACCTCTTAAAAAATATTACTTTAACCTTACATTGACTTTTCGTACCATAATGCGTTTAAAGTAAGCTTATTGTAATGTTAAAACTATGATGTTTTATTGGCAGCTTTGTGACTATTCATTCACTCAGTTCGTACCATGACGCGACTTTGACATTAAAGTAATATTGCTCTTATGTCAAATTTAGCAATCTTAAAATAGTTACACGGATGCAATGGAAACAATATTATTTTCAGTTTTATTGTTTTAATATTGATTTGTAATGATTAAAAGTTAAGTTGAACTTATTTATTTACATATATCTCTTGAATATTTTGTTTATTTTTTATTTAATAGCACATAGGAAATAATTTCTCGTAAAATAAAAATACGCTATGTTTATTTCGTAAAATTATAACAGCGCCAGCTATATGCTCCTTGGCGAAACTAACAGTTGACAAGTACGAAAGTATCAAGATTCAGCTTGTTTTATTCATGAAAATGCGGAATAATAATTGAAATTTCATTATTACATACTTTTCTTTTTTGGCAGTTAAAATTCTCTGAATGTAAATAACATTAAGTACTTTAACATTATACTACGATAACACGATTCGGAACATCAAAAAAGAAAGAGTTTGCATTATATAGTTCACATAGCGTTATCTCTTTCCTATTTTTTATGCTTATATTGAAATAAGAATGTTTTTGGAAAGGTTATGGTAGGCCCCCAGGTAGTCAATCCGACAGAGTCTAAAAACAAAGGCATTTAACCAGTGCGTCTTATCTTTAAACAAGTGCGTCTTATCGTAATAGCTATGTTTGGACTTTCTTTAAAGAAACGAATTCATAATAAAGTAATACGTCAGAGAACTAAAGTAATCCACATATTGCTACAATCAATAAGCGGAAGTGGCAGTAGGCTGGTCATGTCTACTGATGACCGATAAGGCAAAGGTTCTGGATTCGAGATCACGCCAAAACAAACGTCTGTCTAACGACCTGAGGCAAGGGTGGCTTGATAAATACGTGACTTGAATGTTAAATAAACTATTTTTACGGAATTTATTTTTATTTCCTAATTTACAACTCGTTTCTTAGCAACCGACGTGACTTTTTCTTAATTAGTGCGAAATAAAAAAGAATTGAAATAAAAAAGTAGAGGTGAGGTGGATATATTTTTTTGAAGATGGTAATGACGGAATTTCGAGTATTCCGTTTCTCATCTGCAATCAGGGGCCTTAGTACAAATATATTATAAGTAGATCTAAATAAAAATAAAAATAATAATAACGCACA